TGAACCCCAGCACGTACCTGGGGGTAAAACCTGTCTCTTATACACATCTCCCCACTCCCCCACTCCCCCACTCCCCCATTCCCACAATTCCCGTCTCGGTATTCCAGGCACGTAGGCCGTGGCTGCTTATTAATAATATTAGTGGCTGGCGATAAAACTCCCCACTCTTCCCCACTCTTCCCCACTCCATAAGCCCCGAGTGGGGGGGAGTGGGGGCTCGTTTATATGGCCATCGCAACGCTTTTTCAACCGCTTTAAAACCGCGACAAATCGACGCTTTAAATGGGATTTTTTACTTAAAGAGAGGGATTTAAGAGAGGATTTAGAGAGGGAATAAGTGAGAGGATTTAAAGAGGGAATCCGTGAGAGGATTTAAAGAGTGGGCTTTAATTTACTAATTAAATAATATTTAGTAATTAAAAAATAAATAATTTTTATCGGGATTGCCCGTTCATGTTTAAAGCGTGTAAAAAATTTTCGAAATTCTTCCTTTGGAATAAAAAAATCCGAATTTCTCCATGGGTAAAAAAATTGTTTTTTGGGACAGGAAAATTTTCGAGGTCGCATAAAATCTCGGATGGAAAAATTTCAAAGAAAAAAACATTCGATTAATTAATTTATTGAAAATTTTGTGATAACATCAAATTTTCGATTAAAAGCGGAAAAATTCCGTAAACAACTGACATATATTATACGTATTATGTATTTTATCGTTCATATATATGGTGATTGTAAAATGAATATAATATTTTGTGTATAACAACCATTGCACAGCATCACCCCCCCTCCCCCATTGCAAGCCCCACCCCTTAACTCCCTCACCCACCCCTCCCCCCAATGTTGCAGTGTTGCCGCGCGCGTTCATCGCTAATTGCGGCGGCCATTTTAACTCTGCAATTTTGCAACGGCCACGCCCTCTGTTGCAACAGAGGGCCTGTTGCACGCAGTCACCCTCTGTTTCCCCTCTAATCACCCTCTGTTATTAGTCTAATTACCCTCTGTTATTCCTTTAATCACCCTCTGTTTCCCTTATAATCATCTTCTCTTATCCCTTTAATCACCATCGGTTTCACATCTAATTACCCTCTCTTTCCTCTCTAATCACCCTCTGTTTTCCCTCTAATTACCTTCTGTTTCCCCTCTAATCACCCTCTGTTCCCCCTCTAATCACCCTCTCTTTTCCCTCTAATCACCCTCTGTTTCCCCTCTAATCACACTCTGTTTCCCCTCTAATCACCCTCTGTTTTCTCTCTTATTACCCTCTGTTTCCCCTCGAATCACCCTCTGNTTATTTATTCTTCCTCTTTTCCTACCTCCTTTCATTTCTCCTCTTCTTGCTCTTTTCCTACTTTTCTTTCTTGCTCTTTTCCTACCTTTTCCTTCCTCTTCTTTTTTTCCTTCCTCGTTTCATTCCTCTTTTCCAACCTATTTTTATTCTTTTTTTTCCTTTTTCTTTCCCTTTCTCTTTTTCTTCCTCTTTTCTTCCCCCTTTTTCTAACTCTTTTTTTACAACACTTCTCTTTAACTTCACTTCTTGTTTGTCTGCTACAAATCTTATAATCAATATTTAACACACTTCTTATAATTAATATAAGGATTGTAATATTAGTTAATATAGATGTGTATAAGAGACAGCCTCTAATCACCCCCCGTAATCACCATAATCACCCCGCGTCCCTCATTACCACCATGACTCAGCAATATTCTGTAGGCCGTAAAAATTAGGCCTTCCTTTTTACCTCATCGACCGCAGGCCTACGCCGCGCCTACCGCCTCTCTTCTTCTTATTTGTTCTTCCTATTTTCCTTCCTTTTTTCATTCTTCGTTTTCTTCATCCTCTTCCTCTTTTCCTACGTCTCTTCTTTGCTCTTTTTCTACCTTTTCCTTCCTCTTTTCCTTCCTATTATTCTTTTCCTTCTTCTTTCCTTTCCTCTTTTCCTTCTTATTTATTCTTCCTCTTTTCCTACCTCCTTTCATTTCTCCTCTTCTTGCTCTTTTCCTACTTTTCTTTCTTGCTCTTTTCCTACCTTTTCCTTCCTCTTCTTTTTTTCCTTCCTCGTTTCATTCCTCTTTTCCAACCTATTTTTATTCTTTTTTTTCCTTTTTCTTTCCCTTTCTCTTTTTCTTCCTCTTTTCTTCCCCCTTTTTCTAACTCTTTTTTTACAACACTTCTCTTTAACTTCACTTCTTGTTTGTCTGCTACAAATCTTATAATCAATATTTAACACACTTCTTATAATTAATATAAGGATTGTAATATTAGTTAATATAATAACATCACCTAATATAATAGCACACAAATCTTATAATAAATTTAACACACTTCTACCTCTACAATTGTATTGCCTGAATTATATTATATCTTAAAACAAAAATATATATTATAATCAACCTGAAATTTTGCACACTTGTGTAAAGTTGGAGAAAATGCATGAATCAATTGACAGAATAAATAAAAAAAAGAAAATTATTTATTGAAAAAATATTAAAAAAAACTTTTTTTATATTATTAAAAATGAAAAATTTAAGTTCATTGTACATTAGTAACAATGGGACACTGTACTCTTAAGTATAAGTGTTGTCTTAGAAAGTAATTTTTAAACGCACCTAATCCTAGCTCTTTTTCTTCTTTTCCTTCATCTTTTTCCTCCTTTTCTTCCTCTCTTTCACTTTTTCCTCTTTCCCTTTCACTTCTTTCTTTTTTTATTTCTATTTTTCTTTCTCTTCTTCCTCATTTTCTTCTTCTTTTCCTTACTCTTTCCCTACCTCTTTTCATTTCTCTTTTTCTTCCGCAAACCTTCCTATTTTCCATTTATTCATTAATTTTTTCTTCCTCAACCCTCACTTGTCAACCCTCACCTGTCAACCCTCACCTGTCAACCCTCACCTGTCAACCCTCACCTGTCAACCCTCACCTGTCAACCCTCACCTGTCAACCCTCACCTGTCAACCCTCACCTGTCAACCCTCACCTGTCAACCCTCACCTGTCAACCCTCACCTGTCAACCCTCACCTGTCAACCCTCACCTGTCAACCCTCACCTGTCAACCCTCACCTGTCAACCCTCACCTGTCAACCCTCACCTGTCAACCCTCACCTGTCAACCCTCACCTGTCAACCCTCACCTGTCAACCCTCACCTGTCAACCCTCACCTGTCAACCCTCACCTGTCAACCCTCACCTGTCAACCCTCACCTGTCAACCCTCACCTGTCAACCCTCACCTGTCAACCCTCACCTGTCAACCCTCACCTGTCAACCCTCACCTGTCAACCCTCACCTGTCAACCCTCACCTGTCAACCCTCACCTGTCAACCCTCACCTGTCAACCCTCACCTGTCAACCCTCACCTGTCAACCCTCACCTGTCAACCCTCACCTGTCAACCCTCACCTGTCAACCCTCACCTGTCAACCCTCACCTGTCAACCCTCACCTGTCAACCCTCACCTGTCAACCCTCACCTGTCAACCCTCACCTGTCAACCCTCACCTGTCAACCCTCACCTGTCAACCCTCACCTGTCAACCCTCACCTGTCAACCCTCACCTGTCAACCCTCACCTGTCAACCCTCACCTGTCAACCCTCACCTGTCAACCCTCACCTGTCAACCCTCACCTGTCAACCCTCACCTGTCAACCCTCACCTGTCAACCCTCACCTGTCAACCCTCACCTGTCAACCCTCACCTGTCAACCCTCACCTGTCAACCCTCACCTGTCAACCCTCACCTGTCAACCCTCACCTGTCAACCCTCACCTGTCAACCCTCACCTGTCAACCCTCACCTGTCAACCCTCACCTGTCAACCCTCACCTGTCAACCCTCACCTGTCAACCCTCACCTGTNATCTAGATGTGTATAAGAGACAGGTTGTCCCTGTTGCTGCTGTTGTCGCTGTTGTCCCTGTTGCTGCTGTTGTCCCTGTTGCTGCTGTTGTCCCTGTTGCTGCTGCTGTCCCTGTTGCTGCTGTTGTCCCCGTTGCTGCTGTTGTCCCTGTTATCCCTGTTGCTGCTGTTGTCCCTGTTATCCCTGTTGCTGCTGTTGTCCCTGTTATCCCTGTTGCTGCTCCTTATGCTATTTTCGTGAAAATAATTCCCTTTAATTAAATCCTTATTAAAAAAATGCAATTTAATATAGAAATCAGCCCTTCCAAATTTAATTATATAAATTAAAATTAATAGTAAATTATTACAAATATTTTGCAACTCTAACTAAACCAAAAATATTGCCGAAAATTTGTGCTGAAGAATATCAATAGCATATTGGTTATATATTATTTTCTTATGTTAAGGAATTATTAAATAATATTGCGAATAATTATTAATAATTGTATTGCTATTGATACTAATATATCTTACACCTTCCCCCTCACCCCTCCCTCTCACCCCCACTCCCCTCACTCCAGAATCTCCTTTTTGGGAGCGTCAAGGCGTTCATGAATATTGATTTACGGCCTTAGAGAGGGGGAGTGGGGGGAGTGAAGAGAGGGGGATTGGGGGGTGGGAGTGAAGAGAGGGTGATTGGGGGAGTGGGAGTGAAGAGAGGGTGATTGGGGGAGTGGGAGTGAAGAGAGGGGGGAGTGAAGAGAGGGGGAATGGTGGGGAATTAGGAGTGAAAAGTGGGGATTAGGGAAAATGAAAAAAGGAGGGAGTGTCGTGGAGTGAAGTGATAGGGATTGATGGAGGGGATTGAAAATAATATGAGTGTAAGAGGGGAGTGAAGTGTGGGGAATGACAGCACACCTACACAACAACCCCCCCTCCCTGCGTATACACCCCCCCCTCCTTGCGTATACACCCCCCCTTGCGTATGATACGACACTCGTGGTACGCACGGCGTATTTACGACAGCGCTGCGCTATTCTAGCGCTGATATCTTTAGCGCTGCCCTCAGCGGCGCTATTGTTGCGAGGGCACAAGTTACGAGGGGAGACCTACCCTCAGGCAGCCTATCTTACGAGAGGCGTACAGCGTACGACGCCTAATTCCAGTCTTATTTAAAGCTTATATTTTACCGCTGCGATCTGAGGGAAGAGTGATTTTTGGGGATTTTTTGATGAAATTTAACGGTTCGGACCCTGGATTTTTTATTTTTTTATGAAATTTAAAAATTTAAGGGTTTGGACCCTGGATTTTTGATGAAATTTAACTGTTCAGACCCTGGATTTTTGTATTTTTGATGAAATTTAAGGGTTTCGACCCTAAAATTTTTTATCTGTTGTGAAATTTAAGGGTTTGGACCCTGGATTTTTGATGAAATTTAACTGTTCAGACCCTGGATTTTTGTATTTTTGATGAAATTTAAGGGTTTCGACCCTAAAATTTTTTATCTGTTGTGAAATTTAAGGGTTTGGACCCTGGATTACTTAATTAAATTTAGAGGTTCTGACCCTGGATATTTTTGATGAAATTCAAGGGTTCGGACCCTGCATTTTTGTGTAAAATTTAAGGGTTCGGACTTTACATTTTTCAATTTTTAATTAATATTTACAGAGTTTTTCTATCGATGCGAACTCTAGATTAAAATTTTAAATTTTTCATGATCCTACGATGCCATGAGTTCGAATCCAGGCATTCGATTTTTTTCAGATTTTTAACCTCAGATTTTTATGAAATAAAATCAGTTTTTTTTCAAACGAGACTAACTATATCTTCCTCCTTTATAACATTTATATCCTTAATTATATCCTTAATTAATCTTTGATGTCTAAATTATCGAAATTATTCATCAACATTTTTTCATTTACGGCTTTCCTCAGTTTAACCTCGGTCTAAAATTTAAACATCCCTTATTTACCCTCGGTCAGAAATTAAAAGTTCCCTCACTTTACCCTCGACTTAAAGTTGAAAGTTACCTCGCTTAACGCTAGGCCTAAAATTAAAAGTTGCTTCAATTTACCCTCGGCCTAAACTTAAAAGTTCCCTCACTTTACCCTCGGTCTAAAATTCAAATTTGCCTCACTCAACCCTCGGCTTAGAATTAAAAGTTCCCTTCCTTTACCCTCGACTTGAAAGTAAAAGTTACCTCGCTTTACGCTAGGCCTAAAATTGAAAGTTGCTTCAATTTACCGTTGGCCTAAAATTTAAACTTCCCTCACTTTACCCTCAGCCTAAAAAAAAGTTCCCTCATTTTACCCTATACCTAAAATTAAAAGTTCGCTCATTTTACCCTATACCTAAAATTAAAAGTTCGCTCATTTTACCCTATACCTAAAATTGAAAGTTCTCTCACTTTACATATACCTAAAATTCACCTTCTCTCATTTTACCCTCGGCCTAGCCTAAAATCGAAACTTCCCTAACTTTACCCTATACCAAAACATTCCCTCTAACGCTCATCCCCAGGATAAATATTCAGAAATTGGTACTTACCCTCTAATGCCTGAGAAATTTCCCCTTACCTGACTTGCCTGTAGGCCTACAAGTGTACGTATACTGGGCTTGCGCTATAGGCCTGTAAAGTCAATATATTAGACCTATATATTGCGCTATAGGCCTGTAAAGTCAATATATTAGACCTATATATTGCGCTATAGGCCTGTGAAGTCAATCCATTAGACCTATATATTGCGCTATAGGCTTTTGAAGTCAATCCATTAGACCTATATATTGCGCTATAGGCCTGCGAAGTCAATCCATTAGACCTATATATTGCGCTATAGGCCTGTGAAGTAAATCCATTAGACCTATATATTGCGCTATAGGCCTGCGAATTCAATATATTAGGCCTATATGAAGTCAATTCACAGGCCTATAGCTTGCGCTATAGGCCTGTGAAGTCAATCCATTAGGCCTGGGCTGCTCTCGAGAATAGGATGGTTTGCAGATCTCTTCAATTGAGATTCTAAGAGCTGTGTCTATAGGCCTAGCTGTGTATATAGGCCTTTGCTCTGTAGATCATCTAGTAATTGCCTACATGACAGGTACAGGCTCTACATACGCCTATGCATTCACACTTTCTTCCCCTTAGCTAACTGTCTAGGCCTACTGGCTTCTTTTCTTACCCTTTGCTTATGCATTATTTTTAACAGCATTCTTACTAATTTTCGTATATTGCCACGTCCTACAGTTTATTTTTTTATTATTTAGCTATTTTGTTGCAAGGCATACGAAGCATGCACTTATGTTTCTTTATATTGTTTATTATATTTTTCGGTAACCAAAATTTAACATTTTATTACATAGTTCCTGTTTTTTTTATCCTTGTTGAAAAAGGTGCGTTTCGTTTGCAATGTTTAAGATACGGAGGCCTTTATTACTAGATATTATTTATTTTATTTATCTCTTACCATATATATGCCTGTACATAAATAATTTCAAAATTTTATGAATATTTTATGTCTTTTTTCCTTCTTGAAAAAATTGTATTGGAATTTTGAAAATTGAAATAATTTTTCTGTGTCTGAAGTTTTTTTTTAATTTTTTATATTCAATTCATTTTTGTTTATCAAAAAGTCACATAAAAATTAAAGTGGATAACGTGAGAAAACCACGCCAGGTAAGAACTTGATTTGAATCAAGTTATTTCATTATTTTTGTTCATTTAAAATCAAGTTAAATCGTACATTTTATATGTCAAGAAACTCATTATCTTTCAATGAATTAAAAAGTTTAAAGTAAGCGACATTTTTTGAATGGGGTGAAAGTGCCTGCAATGAAAGAAAGATATTACAACACAACATAAAACGACAAAACACAACAAAACAAAACAAAAAAGAACAAAACACAATACAGCACAGCACAGCACAACACAACAAAACAAAACAAAAAACAACAAAACACAACACAACACAACACAACGCAATAAAACACAACACAACAAAACACAACATAACATAACAACAACATAACAAAACACAACACAACAACAACACATAACAACCCTACACAAGTCAACACAACACAACACACTACAATATGAACAAATATATATTTTTCACATTTCTAACTATATTTCTTCGAGCGTATAATTAATTTTATTCTTCATTAAATTAATTAATTATTTATTTATAATACTTCTGTAATGTTAACGTTCATTAGGTTTTTTCATACGAGGGAAACACATTTTAGTGAGACGAGGTGAGGGGAAATTGGGGTAAAAAGTAGGGACCAAACACGCGATGTTATTTAATTAGGGAGCAAGTGTGAGGGAAGGGGGCGGGAAAAGGGGTGAGGGGTTGGGGGTCTAGAGGGGAAATATTATTTTAGAATAATTTCTAAAGAGGGATGGATGAGGGGAAAGCTGATGAAAGGAAGTGGGTAGAGGGAAGTGAGGGCAAGAAAGTGAGGAAAGAAAGGGAGGTATAAAAGGGAGAGAAGTGAGTGGGGAAAGAAAGTGAGGGAAGAAAGTGGGGTAAGAAAATGAGGGATGAAAGAAAGTGAGGGAAGAAAGTGGGGGAAGAAAATGAGGGATGAAAGAAAGTGAGGGAAGAAATTGAAGGAAGAAAGTGAGGGGAGAAAGTGAGGGGAGAAAGTGAGGGGAGAAAGTGAGGGGAGAAAGTGAGGGGAGAAAGTGAGGGGAGAAAGTGAGGGGAGAAAGTGAGGGGAGAAAGTGAGGGGAGAAAGTGAGGGGAGAAAGTGAGGGGAGAAAGTGAGGGGAGAAAGTGAGGGGAGAAAGTGAGGGGAGAAAGTGAGGGGAGAAAGTGAGGGGAGAAAGTGAGGGGAGAAAGTGAGGGGAGAAAGTGAGGGGAGAAAGTGAGGGGAGAAAGTGAGGGGAGAAAGTGAGGGGAGAAAGTGAGGGGAGAAAGTGAGGGGAGAAAGTGAGGGGAGAAAGTGAGGGGAGAAAGTGAGGGGAGAAAGTGAGGGGNATCTGTCTCTTATACACATCTAGATGTGTATAAGAGACAGGAATAATGTTGCGCCGAGCTTCTGAATAATTGTTTTGAAAAGAAATAGTTTTATAAATATTTTTTTTTATTGCTCCGAATCCTGATTCCTATTCCCAATCTTGATTCCTATTGACAATTAAGATTCCAATTTCCAACCCTGATTCCTATTATAAATCCTGATTCCAATTGACAATTAAGATTCCAATTTCCAACCCTGATTCCTATTATAAATCCTGATACCAATTCACAATTAAGATTCAAATTTCCAATCCTGATTCCAATTCCCACTATCACTTCAAATTCCCATTCTTTATTCCTAATTCGCACTCCCTTTATTCCTAATTCGCAGTCCCTAATTCCTGCTACTATTCCCACTCCCCAATTTGCACTCCCAATTCCCAATTCCCATTCCCAAATTCCCACCCCTCAATTCCCACTCCTACCCCTCCATTCCCACTCCCCAATTCCCACTCCTAATTCCCAATTCCCACTCCCCTCTCGCAATAAAACTTTCTAATTATTCAACACTTAGCGCTTCGCGAGCAACTTTCTTGGCGTATCCATTAAAATTCCCCCTCCCCTCTTAAGCCCCTTTCCCCTTCCCTCTTTTAAATCCCCCTTTTACCCTCAACCCCTCGCGCGCCACCCTCCCCTCACTTTTCTAAGCATCTCTCTTATAAATTTATATTTTAAAATACTTTTAAATTCCTCAATAAAATATCTTTTGCTTCTAACTTTCGGTAAAATTTTATGAGATGTTATGATTTTTCAGCGAATTTGAAATATTTTAAATGAATTCTTCGCTTTAAAATGTATTCAAATATCCTAAGAAAGTAATTAAAATTTCCTTTGAAATTTATAGAATATTTATACTTTTCTGTCACGCCGGGAAAGTCTACGGTCTTTACGCCGAACATTTAATTTACTTTTAGTTCACTGATATTAAAGTTGGGATGAAAAAATACTCATCAATCGTCTGCCAATCACCATTCGTCTGCCAATCACTAATCGTCTGCCAATCACCAATCGTCTGCCAATCACCAATCGTCTGCCAATCACCAATAGTCTGCCAATCACCAATCGTCTGCCAATCACCAATCGTCTGCCAATCATTCCGTATGACATCAAACTTTAAAAAGGTAACATAAAAATATAAAAAATTAATTATTTACACATAAACTAAAATTGACGCTTAATTTTTAATATAAAAAAACTAAAAAATAAAATCTTCAATAATTAATATTAATCACCCAATGATAATAATTCAAATATATGAAATAATTATTAATTAATATTGAAATTTATTAATTGTTAATTGATTTCGATAATTAATAATGAAATTTTTATAAAAATAAATTAATCATGTAATTGAAATAATGTGAAATGATATAAGTGAATTTCACGTAATCAGCAAATTTTTCATCAATGATTTTAATCAAAATGTAAGAAATATATTTTTCTTATAATTTCTTGTCCTATAAATGTTAATTATTTTGTTTGAGGCAATGACAGTTAATGATTAATTAATTATTGAGTTAAGTTAATGAGTAGCTGGCGCCTGATTAAGTCATGGCTGTAATGCTCCAGCTACTTAATTTTTGTAATTAATTAATGAGTTAAGTTAATGAGTAGCTGACGCCTCATTAATTCATGAATGTAATGCTCCAGCTATTTAATTTTTGTAATTAATTAATGAGTTAAGTTAATGAGTAACTGACGTCTCATTAAGTCATGAATGTAATGCTCCAGCTACTTAATTAATTTTTGCTTCCAAGTTTTCCCTGATTAATTATGATTAACTATTGCCAACCAATTAATGTTGAGCAATATTATTCAATTCTTGTGATTTAATTAATGTAGACGATTTCAAAATTTTCAAGTTTTAATATTTAAATTTATTTCATCTCTAAATCAAGTAATATAATTTAGTAACCTAATGATTACTGATACTTGATATATATATCAACTTAATACATGTTGAAATACGCCTATATAGCTACTTATATAAATACGCCTAAATACGTATTTAAATAAGCCTAAATAAAAACGTATTTAAATACACAAAAATACGTATTTAAATGAGCCTAAATAGGTATTTAAACACGTCTTAAAACGTATTTAAATACGCCTAAATCCGTATTTAAATACGCCTAAATACCTATTTAAATACGCCTTTAAACGTAATTAAATACGCCTTAATACGTATTTAAATAAGCCGCATCTCTAAATTAAGTAATATAAATATATAAATCAGCCTAAATATACAAATAAGCCACTTATAAATAAGCCAATAGTTAATTAAACTATTTAATGAGTAGTTAAGCGCTCTACTCAACACCCTGGAGTTCGCTAATTGTTTTTTTTTTCTTCGCAAATCAATTGAAAAATTTTGAACGGTTTTATCATCGCAAGAAGCGAGGGTAAAAATTAATTGGACTGAGAGCCGCCGAGGGAAGCTTGCCCTCGTGAATGCTATCTCGAAAATTAGGATTTTGCACGCGAATAAGCAGAGGGCTTCCCTCTCTTTACCCTCTTTTACCCTCTTTTCCATCCTTCTTTTGTCTCTTTTTCCCCTCTTTCCCTCCTTCTCTTCGCCTCTCTTTCCTCTCTTTTCCTCCTTCTCTTCGCCTCTCTGTCCTCTCTTCCACCTTCTTTTTCGCCTCTCTTTCCCTCTTTTCTTCATTCTCTTCGCCTCTCTTTCCTCTCCTTCCCCTTTTTTCCTCTCTTTCCCCTCTTTTCCTCCTTCTTTTTCCCTTCTCTTTCCTCTCTCTTCCTCCTTCTCTTCGCCTCTCTTTCCTCTCTTTCCCCTCTTATCCTCCTTCTCTTCGCCTCTCTTTCCTCTCTTCCACCTTCTTTTTCCCCTCTCTTTCCCCTCTTTTCCTTCCTTCTCTTCGCCTCTCTTTCCTCTCCTTTACTCCTTCTCTTTCCCCTCTCTTCCTCTTCTTTACCTTCCCTCCCCTCTTTTCCTCCTTCTCTTTGCCTCTCTTTCCTCTCCTTTCCTCTTCCTTTCCCGTCTCTTCCTCCATCTCTTCCCCTTTCTTTCTCCTCTCTTTCCATTCTCTTTCTCTCCTCTTCTTCTCTCTTTCCTCTTTCTTCATTCCTCCTTCTCTGTTCCCTTCCCTTTCCCTCTCTGTCCCTTCTTTTCCCTTTCCCCAACCTCTCTTTCCTCTTTCTTTCCTTTCTCTTCCCTCTCTCCTTCCTTCTCGTCCCCTCTCTGTCCCCTCTTTTTCTCTTTTTTTCCCCTTTCTCCAATATCAACCCATTTGAACTCATTGCCATTTTAAAATCGTCATACATTAATTATTTTCATAAAATTGCCCCTTTTTCCTTATAATTTTTTCTAATTTCATTAATTTTAAATTTTACTGCTCTCTCTTACTCATTAGAATATTTTTTGCTAAATTTTTCACCTTCTTTGACTTTTTCCTCCTCTTCTTCCCCTCACATTTCTCTCCCCCCCCCTCATCCCCCCTCCCTCTTCTTTTACCCTCACTTCCCCCTGCCATCAATTTAGCCAGGAAATTAATTCCTCGGCATCGAAGAACTCATTAAGCTCTTAAAATTCGTTACAATTCAAATGCTCTCGTCGTCCTAAGTCCTTATTGGACCGCACTCTAAAAATCATGACGTCATCGGCCATCACCGCCTCCTAATTGGATCAGAAATTAAAAATTATGACGCAATCAGCGCTCGCTTCCGTGCTATTGGTTCACACGATAAAAATCTGACGTCATCTTAGCGATGCGAAGCTGTGATTGGTCGAAAAATTTAAAAAATTGCCCGCCATGGAGACGAGTGTCTGTGATTGGCTACTGCGTAGGTGACGCTATAGTAATTTATAAGCGTTGATTGGTTCATTGATATGCAAAGTGGTGACGTCACGGTCATTTACCTCACGTTGGTTGGTTTATTCTCATGCAAAGCTGTGACGTCACAGTCATTTAGGCCGTTTGATTGGTTCATTTGCTTGATGGGTGATGACGTCATGGTATTTTCTAGGCGTTGATTGGTGGTGGGCAAATGAGAACGCTGTCGGTTGGTCAGTCGTTTTGCCGACAGCATTTGCATGGTAATTAGTTAAGGGATGTTTGGAGAGCCGACCCGAGGGAAATTCCCTCGAGTGGGGAGGGTAAAAGAGGGGAAATGTGAGGGGAAAGAGGGGAGAAGAGGGGAGATGTGAGGGTAAATGTGAGGGGAAAGAGGGGAGATGTAAGGGGAGAAACTTGCGTGGAACTCGAGACGAAATTCACGTCTTGCGATGGATTGATGAATTTTCTTGTTAAAGAAAATTCAATTTTCTTGTTAAAGAAAATTCTTGCCTGGATAATTTTAATTATATAAGTTGTGTATAATTTAATATATGTATGACATCGTTTGAAAAATCTATACGGAGAAAAGAGTCTCTTAATAGTAAGATAGTTAATTTAATATCAGTCTTACTATCCGTAGATTCATCATAAAAATAAAAAATGTTGAAATTCAAGAACTAAATATCTTCATGTTTGAAACTCAAAGAAAAATGAATTAAAAATGAATGACATGCAATTACAAACTCGAAAATGTATTCACAATATAATGATGAATAGTTAGTGAATAATGATAAGTAAATTTTTGTATAAAAGTTGAAAAGACGAAAACATTTTATTACTTAATTTTTTCAGTGAAAAAAAAATGTATGCGGTAACGTTTATGTGGCATAACGGACAAGTATACGTTCTGTATTTGTATAAATACACAAAATAAATTTTTTCGTACAGGAAATTTTGAATTTTGAAAAACAAAATTGAATAAATCATTGAAAAAAATTCGAGCAATTCTGCTTAGAGGAGGAGCAGAAGAAATAATATATATATAATTTATATAATTTCTATAATAAATACAATATACCATATATATAAATATATATAATATAGAAAGATGAATATATTATAAAACACCGAAAAAGAGCAAGACATACATGTATAATATATAATAAAATTAATTAATAAAATCAATTCTTTTTTTTTCTTGCTGGAATGGTGAGTGTGGGAGGCCTTTAAAAAAAAAATATATATATATAATATAGATATATAAACACATTATAAAACACCGAAAAAGAGCAGGAAGAAAAGAGTGCTAAGAGCAGATCAATAAGAGCAAGAGTTGCGATCGGAAAAAAACATCCCTCAAAAAATCGATCCCAATTTAAGGGAGCACCAAAAACCCCACAAAAAAATTACCCTAAAAAACTCAAGACCCGAATCTCCCTAAAAAATACTTGAAAAAACAACCGATTTTTTCGGCTGCTTTTTTCCTTATTTGCATGGACATTGTTTATTAAGTTAATATTATTGTTATATGTTTTTTATATACACGATGATTTTATGAACATATAAATTTTTTTAAAATATTTATTAAGCGAAAAAATTCGCATAAAAAGTGAGGATTTCTCTATCGGAAGAAAAATAAAACTATTTTATTAAAAATTCTTTGGGATTTCTAACAAATTTTTTCCAATTTTTAACGATTTTTAAAAAATTATTTCGAATTTTGTACAAACGAACTAGAATTATAGAATTTATTTTTAAAAATTAAGAATTATAAAATTTCTTTTTAAAAGTTCTTTCAAATTTTTAATAAAAGCAGTTTTATTTTTCGTTATTATAATTGGCAATTGTGAAATTCTTTATAACCATCAGAAAATATTATTTATAATAATAAATATAATGATTATTATTACTTTTTATAATAAATATAATTGATAAATATTATTTATCAATTTTCGATTTAAACTGAAAGCGAAATAATTTAATTAGACATTACAGAAAAGTTCAGGACGAACATGTGAACATGAACGCATTTAACATCACGGACATGTACACAATTTACGTACACGTGTACGCTTCGTGTACAAACCTTGATTGTTGGTATTGATTTACGTACATGATAATTTCAGCATTAATACACGTACAGGCGTAGACGCACACACGTACACGTGCATAAGCGCACACGTGAACACGTACACGTGCATACGCGCACACGTGAACACGTACACGTGCATACGCGTACACGTAAACACGTACACGTGCATACGCGCACACGTGAACACGTACACGTGCATAAGCGTACACGTAAAAGCGTACATGTTCGTACGCGTACATGTAAACACGTAGACCCTCACGCGTACACGTTAACTCGCCTATACGTACACGCACATAATTACACATCTACACGCCTACGTGTAGGTACGCGTTCGTATCTCACGTACACAAACTAAGAACTTTTTAATCTTACATTTTTTACTATTAAAATTCAACCAATATAATTAAAATATTTAATATTTACTACTAATTTAACTTTCCAATACTAACCGTGGCGCGGCAGAAGGCTAGTATTTAAAGAATATTACATTTTATTAAAAATTTTACCAATGTATTTAAAACATTCAATATAGCAATACAATTTCCAATATCAACCTTGGCGCGGTACACGCACACGTACACGTACACGTACACGTACACGTACACGTACACGTACACGTACACGTACACGTACACACAAGCGTGTACGTGTGTCGGCAATAGGCAAATCGGTGATCGATAAACTCGGCCTACGCATTTTTTTCCTTCTTTCTTTTTTTTTACTTTTTTTTTCTTTTTCCCCGGCAGCGTCTGCGCCTCCCGCCTGATTTTTTTTCCTCGTATGATTTTTTTGTTCGATTTCCTGAAAATCATCGCGATATTGTCATCAAGAATGAATAAAATCAATTTTTTCCTGTTTATCCAGATTTATTAGAGGCACTATATTTTCTCCTATTATTCCGCTTATATTTTTGTCTTCGTAGTAATTCGCAAATTTTCTGAAAAAATATCCGTTTCGAGTGAAGATAGCAAATAAATTTAGTACATAGAAATCCATATCATTCATCTAGTAATTCATATTAAAATGTATTTATAATTTGATGAATTTTGAGCAAGCAAAAGAAAGGCTTGAAATGCTACTTTTGTAGACCACAGAAATGCGGCAACAACAACAGTAACAATAATATTTTGATCAAGTAATAATTTTCTCGATATTTCCTGGGCTGGATGTAATGTTACCCCAGACGCAAAGATATTGCCTCTAAGCTCACCGAAGTTATCCTAAAAACCTCGCTAAGATTAATAAGATAAAAATCTCGCTAAGATTAATAAGATAAAAATCTCGCTAAGATTAATAAGATAAAAATCTCGCTAAGATTAATAAGATTAAAATCTCGGTATGAATAATGAGATTAAAATCTCGCTAAGATTAATAAGATTAAAATCTCGCTAAGATTAATAAGATAAAAATCTCGCTAAGATTAATAAGATTAAAATCTCGCTAAGATTAATCCATGTCTTCTGAAGACGTTTGAATCTTCAATTGACCCCAAACGTTTAAAGTTACCCTAGACCTCGCAGAGTTGTCCTAAACCCTAAAGAAATTCCTAAAACGACGTGAAGTTACCCTAGACGTCCCAGAGTTATCCTAGACGTTAAAGAATTACCCAAACATCACAAAGTTGCTCCAAATATCAACAAGTTACCCCAAATATCAAAAATTTACCCTGAATGTCAAAAAATTACCCCAGACATCAAAAAGTTACCCCAAAAGTACAAACGTTACCCCTACCCCCAAACATCAAAAAGTTACCCCAGACTTCAAAAAAATTACCATATAAATCATAAATGTATCAGAAAAATACAAAAAATACCCCAAACATCAAAAAGTTACCCCAAAAATACAAACGTTGCCCCAAATATAAAAAGTTACCTCAAAATAAAAAAAAAATTACCATATAAATCAAAAATGTATCAGAAAAATACAAACGTTACCCCAAAAATACGAACGTTACCCCAAATATAAAAATTTACCTCAAAAATAGCAAAAAAATTACCCCAGACGTCGGGAAGTTCCCCGCCCTGGGGAAGTCGGCGTGGGGTAAGCCAGGTAATTTAGCGCCGTCTTGGCTGGATTAGGCGCTAATCCAGCCAAGACGGCGCTAATCCAGCGCTAATCCGGCGCTGTCTGCTGCTGCTCACCGGCTTAGCGGCAACAGTTGCTCCCGGAAAAAATTGGAACAACTGAAAAAATCCGTTGGTTTACAGCAAAAATATTTCTTTACATGGAAATACAAATTCTAATATTAATTTATTTTGTTCGTATTGATATAGAAATTTAAAGTGTAATTTCTATATCATTTAATTGCTATTATTATCAATATCAATTATTATTTTAATATTAATTAAATGTCAATATATTATATTTTAAATGCGGCCGCTGGTGAATATGAATTCAAATTTCAATTTCCAAGTTTCTCTAAAATTTTAAATTTTGTTTCTCTGACTTAAATCCTGAATTAATCCTTAAATTTCCTACTTAACTCCTTAAATCCTCGTCATATGTCAACGCTTTAGATAATTTCGTAATTTATTCATAAATATTCATGAGTTATTCATCACTATTTATCATTTATTCATCATTATTCATTATTTATTCATGGGTATTCTCGATATATTCTTCAAAATTCATACTATATTATTCAGCATTCAGGATTTATGCATTGACATACATGATTTTTTATCCATATTAATGATTTATAATATATATATATATATACGTCTACCTGTATATTGCGACAGCAAGGCTATTATTTATTATATATTTATTATCTTATTATACATATATTTTATATTATTATGTATACATTATTCTTTGACGGGAAAAAATTAAAAAATCAATAAAATTCTTTTTAATCTATAAATCGAAAAAAAAATTTTTAGCGTCGCACAAAGCGAAGTTTTTTCCCTCTGGAATTCAGTGCGATTCCCAGCGCTTTGATCATTCCAATTATTCCGGAATGGGAATGAGGAGTTGGGCTTTGATTCCCAAGAAGTTTGGCGCGATTTGCGAGTGGGAATTGGGAGCTAAAATTTGGAACTGGGAATTGGGAGCTGAAATTTATAGTTTGGAGCTGAAATTTGCGAGTGGAAATTGGGAGCTAAAGTTTGGAATTGGGAATTGACAGCTAAAAAATTTGGAACTGGAATTGGGAGCTAAAATTTGGACCTGGGAATTGGGAGCTAAATTTTTCAACTGGGAATTGGGAATTAAAAACTGGGAATTTAAACTTGTATTAGAAATTTGGAAAGAGGAGTTAAAAATGGGGAGCTTGTAGTAAGGAGAAGGGGGAATTGACACGGAAAATGGGTGACATGGAAGCCCAATTTTCAAATGGGTGAAAAAAATAATACTCATACAAATCCACGGGTCACATTGTCCAAATTGTGCCCCGCTTTCTCACCCACAGCACGCAGCAGTGAGAGCGGCCGTAGCACTGATACGCCCTAACTGCGTCAGGATGACTAGAGCGGCCGTAGCACTGATACGCCCTAACTGCGTCAGGATGACCCACGCAAGAGCGGGAAGTGCGGCCATGTTTGGGACAAAGACGCACTCATTTCTCTCAGTGCGTGCTAATGCCTCATTGAGGTCGTTTTAATGAGAAGATGCCAGCTCATTGATATCGTTAATGAGGTCTTAATGGACATTGCCGCCCCACAACTCATTCAAGTTTCCCCATTAAAAAACCCATTAACATAATGCGAACTCCTTAGCAGGGGCGCCGCGCGCTGGGCTTTAATTGCTCATTGATTCGCATCGCTTGCTTAATGAGTTGAGAGAATGTTAAGTAGGAAGTGGGTTATATTAATGGATAATGAGTGACATATTCATTCATTGTAATTAATAGATAGTGTTTCACTTGCGTGCTGGTTAATATTTATTATTTATTAGTGAAATTAATGTAATAGAATTTTTAGTAATATATAAAAATAATTAACTATTAATAATTAGTATATAAATATCTAATAATTATTGATATATAATTAAATATTAATGATATATTGAATAAATAAATTAAATATATTGAATTCATTAGTTATATATTAATAATATCTATTTTGATTCTAAAAAATTATCTGTTAAATATGAATTGATTTCAATTAATTATTAAAAATATTAAAATGTTCACACATCCTTTAATGCCACCTGCACACTCAAATAAATTGCGATACTTTGTACAAATCACGAGGCACTATGTGGCTGCGTATGGGCCACCTGATGCTGTTATGTCCGGTCATAGGACGTCTCTATGTCACGTGTAGGAGATGGGTCAATATTTGGACAATATTACCATTATTTGTTTGAGTGTTGGTTTATATGTATACATAAGATGTATTATAAATCCACATAATACATAAGATGTATTATGCACACATAATACATCTTGTTATGTATGATTACAGATGTATTACAATTATGTAATACATCTTATATACATATACATAATACATATACATACATAATAATAATACATGAGATGTATCAAACATATACATATTATATGAGATGTATTATACGTATAAACAATACATGAGATGTATTATACATATACTTATAATACATGAGATGTTTTATACATATACATGATACATAAGATGTATTAAACATATACATAATACACAAGATGCATTATTTAAATTGTCGTGAAATCCGCCATACTAACTTCGTACGATGAATAAATATTTCGAAAATAAAATAAATAAGAATAAATAAATCAGGAGTTCTAAAGCGGCACAGTGAATGCCCTTCAATTTTGGGATGGGGAGGGAGGGGAGGCCTGGGATGGGGAGGGAGGGGAGGCCTGGGACTGTCTCTTATACACATCTAGATGTGTATAAGAGACAGGTATTGTGGCACTGTGGCCAGTATTGTGGCACTGAGGCCAGTATTGTGGCACTGTGGCCAGTATTGCGGCACCGCCTCCCCTATTGCCCCCCCTCTCGCCCCCCTCATTAAATAAGGCCGTGTTTAACGCCTGCAATTTAAGTAGCTGCCGAATTAATGCTGAGGCCGAGGAACAATGTCCCATTAACCCCCATTAGCGCTAATCAGGGGATCTGTGCCGACGATCTGGCCCGCCTTAACGGGCTTAAGGGGTTTAAGGGGTTGAGCCACTTAAGGGTTCAGCAGGACTGCAGTCAATGAGCTTGTAGTTAAGGGCTTTAAGGAGAGGCAGCACAGCCGAGGGGGATTAAGGGGATTGGGGAAGTGGATAGGGGATTTTTGGGGACTTTATTGGGGGATTTAAAGAGCATGGAAAGTATTTATAAATGAAACTTAAATAATTTAATATAATTATATAGTGGTATATATATAAAATAAAATTATTTCAATTATTTACATGATTTACTATATGATTTATATAACATTATATATACTTATATATAATTTAACACTTTTTTGCATAGAAATAAGATTAAACTTAAATTTCTTTAGCCAATACAAGATTGTTTAAACCCTAATAAGATATATATAGATAGTTTAAACCCTGATAAGATATATATAGATAGTTTAAACCCTAATAAGATATATATAGATAGTTTAAACCCTAATAAGATATATATAGATAGTTTAAACCCTAATAAGATATATATAGATAGTTTAAACCCTAATAAGATATATATAGATAGTTTAAACCCTAATAAGATATATATAGATAGTTTAAACCCTAATAAGATATATATAGATAGTTTAAACCCTAATAAGATATATATAGATAGTTTAAACCCTAATAAGATATATATAGATAGTTTAAACCCTAATAAGATATATATAGATAGTTTAAACCCTAATAAGATATATATAGATAGTTTAAACCCTAATAAGATATATATAGATAGTTTAAACCCTAATAAGATATATATAGATAGTTTAAACCCTAATAAGATATATATAGATAGTTTAAACCCTAATAAGATATATATAGATAGTTTAAACCCTAATAAGATATATATAGATAGTTTAAACCCTAATAAGATATATATAGATAGTTTAAACCCTAATAAGATATATATAGATAGTTTAAACCCTAATAAGATATATATAGATAGTTTAAACCCTNGGGGTAGGCCTATAGTATGCAGATGACCAGCACTGGCCGACGCTACAAGAAATCAATAGCGCTTCTCAGACTCCTTCTTATCCTGCGTCTTCCCCCTCCTCCCCAGCGTCTTTCAATTCCCCCCCTTTCCCCCAATGTCTTTGAATCCCCTCACTCCCCCATCCCCCCACTCGCTCTCTGTAGGCTTCTTCTTAATTCCTCCCACTTTGCCTACAGGCCTACAGGCCTACTGCCTCTCACGCACGCACACGCAAATTCAAACGCAAATACACCAACACGCTCGCGAAAAAAAAGGAGTCATAAACGGCAAGAAACGTGAAATACACGTACACACATACAAGTGAGCAACAGCGAACTACACGTACATAAATTCACAAGAACTTATACACCCACACTGAGAATGACACACTTACACGTATGCAAACATAGGAACTACCCGTACATATGTTTCATACCCCTTCATGTTTGTTTAATACATCTTCACATAAATATATTATTTGTTAAAAACACATAAATTGAATATAAACAATTAAAAAGCACACATATCCACACGTTTTTTTTTATTTGCTCCAGAATTGTCCTATTGTTGGTTATAAGATGTTTGACAGATTCTAATAAATCAGATTTGTTCGTAATGCTACAACAGAGATAAAGTTATCCAATTTCTGATTTTATAATGAACTCGTAATCATCGCATCGCAAATTTAAATTTAGTCAGAATTTTGTTATGAACACCTTGGAATTTACAAAAACTTTTAAATGCAAAATTGTGGTGTAAGCCTGATGTCGACATTTTAAGTCTTCAATGTTAACGCGATCATAACAAGAAAGTGGGAGGCACTTTAGGCGCTAGTACTACGCTGTCAGTCACAAATTATCATTCATCAATCATCAACTAGCATGAAAGGAATTAAATGTTCCAGTCGCGATTGCTCACATTTTCAGTATCAATTTTATAGATTCTTTCCAACGCTTGAATTAATTTCCGATGTAAATTTACTGTAGGAATTGTTACGTAAAACTGTTATCATTTTTGTCAAGACAAATGTCCAATTGGAATACTAGTAAGAGAATTGGGAGACATTAGACCAAATATTACCAAACTATTATAAAAATTGAAGAAGGCTGTCATAGTTCTGGCAAATTCACAAAATAGCCTATGGTCCAGTCATGGAAACTCCTGAACATCAAGCCAAATATCAGAAGCTGGCTGCAGAATACACAAAGGTAAAACTTCATTGTTGAAAAATTATATTAATTTTTGTCAATTTTGAGATTAAGCTAAAGTTAGTAAGTTTTTCATATAATTTTCAAGACTACCTATATCAAATAACATTTTATAGTGGCAAACTAAAACACTTTTAGTAGACATTTCAATCAGTATTACGGTATCACCTTCATTTATGAGATTGGAAATTCCCTTCTGCACTCTAAAACCTTGTGGCTTTAGCTCCTAGTCCTAGCCTCCTAGGTATCACATTTTGATGACTTTTTAATATCATGCCTTATGGCTTGATCTAGTAATGAATATATCTACCTTTCAACCTATTTAGCACATTTGGCAGAAGTTTCCTAAAAATTCATAGGTGAAAATGATCATTTCATAGGTCATTGAAAACAAAATTACAAATGAAAAGTAGATTGTTGTTCTTATCTTTTAGAAATATGAAAATGCCATATAAAGGGGTGACTAAAGCCAGATTCACTGGTGTTTTTGCCAATTCACATGTGGCTTTTGCCTAGGGTAAACGCGCTATATTCCGTCACATTAAGGACACATCGAGAAATGAAAAACTATAAAAAAATAACCGTATGCGTTACTCAAGTTCTGTTTGCTTTATGTGACTCTCAAAACACCGCACTACGTGTCAGCAACAACGAAACGTCACAAAATGTTGCCATATTTATTTAAAAGCCTTTAGAATGGAAACCTACCAAATCCCTATATTCCGTCACTGTGTGTGGCAATATTCGGCACGTGGTGAGGCATATTCTGTCCGCGCTTCAAATTCTACTGATACGTAATGCCATCATCCACGTGTTCGAATTCCGTTCACTGTGTGAGCTGTATTGGAATACAACACGCACATGGCTTTGAATTAGAACACTAATGAATATTGAACACTACTTAATTACGCTTTTAATTAACAATTATTAAGCTTTTATCTAAGCAAATTTTAATTTTTATACACAGCTTGGAACGATCTGTGTGTGTCCAATTCAAGTTGTGACAGAATTAGTTTTCATGTGTCTAAATCCATTTCTCAACTTAATCATCTATTAATTTATTTACCACTTGAAATCAGCGAATACAAGTATACTTAAAGGATTCCTAATATATTCACAGAAGTATTTAAAAGTCTCAAACCATAATATTCTTCCTATACAAACAGTTATTCACTCTGTGGTAGAGCAAGGTCAACTGTCAAATTTGACACATTTTTCGATGATCTCACTGGGTAGCGTGCATCGTCTCTCTTTGGATCTCAATATTTTCCCGCTAGATGGCCAAGACCTAGTGTTTTGGCAGTAGTTTAACACGCAAATGTATGACGTCACCATTTCAACCATCAACGAACGCATGGAACTAAGACAAAGCTTAATATAAAGGAAAAACTAAAGAGGTGACGGAATTACCCACGATGTCGGAATATACCGCGTTTACCCTAATTTTCCACTTTAGCCTTTTATGCTGCAACTTGAGATTTTCAGCCATTTTCAGAGTCACAAATCCCTGCTAGATGATTACTCCCATGTAATTGCCAACTAGAGCTTTCATTTTTAGGGTTAGATTCTAAATGTATAGAATTTTTTTATTAATTTGGAGCTGCACACTTTTATTCATAAGTACAGGAATTCCAATCCTTCGGCCTGTTCGATTATGCAATTTTGTTAGCTATTAGGTAAGGCTAAGAGTTATTTCATTTAGCAAGAAATGGAATCTCAAGGCTGACAATGAGATAAAATTGCCCATGCTTATAGTCAATTTTGTTCAGTTAATAACTTTTGCCTAATTATTTCCATGAAAATGAGAAAATGGCATACAGCAATCCCTTGATTAGCACGGTTTTGAATACTGCGGTTTTGATTAACGCAGAAAAAAAATTTGCGACCTACCCTTGATCTATGCGGTGCCAGTTTTGATTAGCGCGACTTTTTTTTCACAACGCATCATTTTCCCGCCTCTAGCCAGAGGTGTTACGTTCGTGCTTATTAGATCTTATGTTGTGTTTCTGTTACGACTTTTGGAAAAATTCGCCAAATGTTGTTACTTTATGAATTTCAGCCAATAATTCTTTAAATAAGGTGCTGTTCAGTAGGCACTCATGCTGACTACAGAGTTGGTTTAACCGCGCCTTGTCTCGTTCATAACTTGAATGATCGAGTTCGGCAACGTTCGCCAGTAAGTGCGCCATGCCGGTGCTCTAGCCCTGTGTGACGAATTCTTCACACAGAAAATAAAAGCTTCTACCGAGAGTAATTACATGTTTGGAGTCTAGCCGCGAGTGTGACGGTAGCGTCACATGTTGTGAACTCGTTCGAACGATGTTCGATGGAGTAGGCGCGCCGCTACTGCCAGTACAACACAAAGACTGCGCGTGATCTGAAAAGTAATTCAGATTGTTTTTTCACTTTCGAAACATAATCAGTGCGTAAAGGGCTAGTTACTCGTTAACCTTCAACTGGTCAAGATCGCTGCCATATCTACTGCTCACTTTTATCGAACTACATAATTTTCCTTTCCTTTGATATTTTTGAGGATTCATTATAATTATTCCCATATATTCTTAAGTTTAATTAGCGCGGTTTTGCTTAACACGGTAAAACTCGGGGATTTATTAACCGCGTTAATCAAGGGATTGCTGTATTTTTGCCCGCAATTTTGGAAAATTTCTCATAAGGTGAAATTTTACACAGGCAATTTTTGGGAAATTCTGCCCAAAATTTCAGATTGGTGGATTGTAATGAGCTACCGTATTATCCATGATACTGGCCTACTTACAGGACTGGAGAAGGATTTTGTTTAAATAAAACCTATTATGCTGGTGCTTAATGTCTTTCAAAATTTGGAATTTTGTACAGAATTTTCCAAAAATTACATACAAAAACAATCATTTTAAAGGTGATTTTTGGGAATTGTTGTCAAAAATATGTTCATTTATGTAAGAGAAATTAGGCAAGGGGAAGAAGGAAGAATGGAAGAGCATTTATGTTTCTTTCTTGGGTATCTTTTGCAAGAAGTATTTGAAATTTGGTAGTATTTTGCCTGGCATTTGGTTCTTTGAATTCTAGAAATGTTGATCCAGCTGTGGTCAAAAGTTCTTTGATCCACAGTTTTTTTTATAATTTAGAGAGGAATTATGAAGTTTCAGGGCTTTGGGATTTCAGTACCAATCTGGAATATTTAAAAGATTTTTCCTAAAATTATGGATAAAAACATTCATTTTATGGGCAATTTATAAAATATAAATGTGTCGTATTCATTCGCTTATACAAAAGTAATTAGGCAAAGTTCATATCAGTGAATGAAATTCTCCATGAACATGACATTCTTGTTTATTCTGGGGATTGCTTCTACCTGATTGTCCAGTTCTGTTTTAGTTAATCATATAAATTGATTGAAATTGGATGAAAAATATGTATTAGGTTATTACTTTGCCCTTTGCTTATAGCGCATTTTCTCATTTATGGAAAAATGAATTATTGTGCTTGCCATGTCCATCTGTCTGTCTGTCTGTCCATCCGTCCGTCCATCTGTCCATGACTTCATGTTTTCGTCAACAAGAAAATGCGCCCTCAGTACTCACTGCAGCGAGTACTGAGTTATGTTTTTTTATAACCTGCATCCTAGCCCATCATTAAAAAAACATGTGTTGCAGGTGCGGGCGCAGAACCAGGTCCTCAAGAAAGCCATCCTTGAGGAGCAGGAGAAAAACTCCAAGCATGCGGTCAGTGTTTGTATATAAATGGGATCCTCCAATTTCATTATACTGCATGTTGTTTACTTCTCATTTGTATATGAGATCCTTCATTTTCAGTACCTATAAAAAAATAGACAACTGCATGTTGTCTATTTCTTAATTGTACTAAATGAGATCCTCAAATTTCATTTTACTGTACATAGGTAGTTTACTTCTTATTTAAGAAGTGGAAGCAAAGTAATACTGGTATGAGGTAAAGATTGATAACTGTTTTTTTTCATATGCAAATATTTTAGTGCATTGATTATTGAAATTAGTCTTTGATTGGTATTCTCTATGTAGGTACCGGTATATATAATTGAAGGATTAATGATTTAATTGAGTATGTTGAAGAGCTGTCAAGATTGACAACTGTTTTTTTCATATGCAAATATTTTGCTGCATTGATTGTTGAAATTAGGCTTTCATTGCTATTATCTATACATTATATATAGGTATACTTGAATGATTGATAATTGAATTGAATACATTGAAGTGTTGTCATGAGACGTGCATTGCAGGAGGTGGTGCAGGCGCTGCGTCGGGCGGAGCAGGAGAACGACTCCCTGACCTTCCGCAACCAGCAGCTCTCCTGCAGACTTGCCCTCCTGCAGGACGACCTGCAGCTGCAGCAGGTGGGGCTGTGGGACCTGCAGCTGCAGCAGGTGGGGCTGTAGGACCTGCAGCTGCAGCAGGTGGGGCTGTAGGACCTGCAGCTGCAGCAGGTGCTGACCCTAAAGGCAGCACCATTTTTGTAAGAAAATTTTTCAAAAAAATATTGAAAAGAAATAACTTGTCTTCTCCTCCCGTATTTTCTTTCAAATCCAAGTTAATATTAATTTATTATAATTATATTTGACAATATAGTTTATGTATTTATATATAATAATTATATAAATTAATTAATTGAATTTTGGCAGGGTAAAGGGAAGAGGCGGGGAGCTGTGGCCAAGGGAGCAGAAGCCGACATTGCGTTACTCATGCAAGAGTTACAGGTAACTGGGGTTACCTGTGCTGGTAACTGGGGTTACCCGTGCTGGGTAACAGGGGTTACCCGTGCTGGGTAACAGGGGATACCCGTGCTGGGTAAAAGGGATTACCCATGTTGGGTAACAGGGATAACCCATGTTGGGTAACAGGGATTACCCATGTTGGCAATGGGGATTACCCATGCTGGGTAATGGCCATGAGTTGCCAAATTCTTGCTTTGATTATAATGTTTATTATTAAATAAATATGATTTATTAATTATTATTATTATATTAATTATTAATATTTGACTGTTAACAATGCTTTCTTTGTATCATTAAAATAAATGTGTATTAGTTAAGAAAAATAATTATTATAATTTACAGGCCAAAATATCCGAGAACGCCGCCCTCCACGCCCGGGTTCTCGAGCTGGAGGATATGGCAACACTGCCAGGGACCGTTGACAGTCTGGCAACACATGATAATATGTCAACAAAGTCACAAAATTCAACAGAGCAATCCTCTGTGTCAACAAAGTCAACAGCAACGTCAACAGAACTGGCAACTCTTCAACAGGAGAACCTGGGACTACAGGAGCGTCTGACACGCTGCCTTCAGGAGCTAGCCGCCCTCAGGAGACGTCACCAGGTGCCCTCACTTACCCTCACTTACCCTCACTTGCCCTCACCTGCCCTCACCTGCCCTCACCTGCCCTCACCTGCCCTCACCTGCCCTCACTTACCCTCACTTGCCCTCACTTACCCTCACCTGCCCTCACCTGCCCTCACTTGCCCTCACTTACCCTCACCTGCCCTCACCTACCCTCACTTGCCCTCACTTACCCTCACCTACCCTCACTTGCCCTCACTTGCCCTCACTTGCCCTCACCTGCCCTCACTTGCCCTCACTTACCCTCACCTGCCCTCACCTACCCTCACTTGCCCTCACTTACCCTCACTTGCCCTCACTTGCCCTCACTTGCCCTCACCTGCCCTCACTTGCCCTCACTTACCCTCACCTACCCTCACCTGCCCTCACTTGCCCTCACTTACCCTCACCTGCCCTCACTTACCCTCACTTACCCTCATCTGCCCTCACCTGCTTTTTGGTAATTTTAGTAGGTATATTTTGAAGTGTATTAATTAATTTAGTAATTTAATTAATTCAATAATTTAAGGTATTTAGTATTTTCATGTACGGTTTTGGAAGCTCGTGGTCGTTTATCCCCATTTTATTTAGATTTTTTCCTCTAAGCCAATTTGTAAAATTATAAATTTGTGTGCAGGATGAAAGGATGGAAGGAGGAGCCTCTGCCCTCAACCTCTCACACGGTAACTTTTCATAATATGAGTTGAGGATAGTGAATCATTATACAGCATCTATACATAAAATACATGAGAGGGTGATTGTGTTACTATATACTAATTATAATTATAATAATATAGGGAATTTAGGCGTTTTTAAGCAGCAATAAATGATAGTGAGTCATTATACAGCATCTATCTATACACGAGTGGTTGATTGTGTTACTATATACAAATAATGATTGTAATAATACATGGAATTATGGTGTTTTTAGGCATATAATTTAAATTTTATTTTTTTAAATTTAGGCTTTTAGGCAAATTATTATTAATAATAAATAATTATTTATCAATATTTATACTGTCTTGCAGACAAGGCAGAGGACTCTGCGTCTACCTCCTCATCTTCCTCCTACCTGTCCTTAGCTCCTGGCCACGATGCCCTTAGTCCTAAGGGCTGTCCCACCGCCCTTGATTTCAGAGAGAACATCCTTGGGGCTTTTGATTTAAAGGGCAACCCTCCGACAACCCTTGATTTAAAGGGCAATCCTCTGACAACCCTTGATTTAAAGGCGACAACCCTTGATTCAAAGGACAACCCTCTGACAACCCTTGATTTAAAAGGCAACCCTCCGACAACCCTTGATTTAAAGGGCAACCCTCCAACAACCCTTGATTTAAAGGGCAACCCTCCAACAACCCTTGATTTAAAAGCGACAACCCTTGATTTAAAGGGCAATCTCCCTGCTACATTTGACTCCTTAGACGCAGCAACAGACCTTGATTCTAAGGACACCTTAGCAAGCCTTAGTAAGGACTTCTGTGAGAAGTTCTCGGCCTTTATCAAGGCGTTCTGTGAGGCTCAGCTCCACCAAGTCCTTGATGACGACATCAAGGCTAAGGAGAACATCGCTAAGGCGCAGCAAGGTTAGCCTTAATAAAGTTTCTTTAGTTCCATTTAAGGGGCTCAATGCCCTCAGTTTTTTATTCAGGAATCCCACCCCTTGGTATAAAAATAATTTTTTTCTTATATATTTTGATTAGCGCTATGAAATCGTTCAGTATAAAATCCCCATTTTGAAGGATGTTAATGTATCTACTCGTATTGATATACATATATTAATATACGAATAAATTAATATGAGAATTTTGTGAAAATGAATAGAATAAAGATGTATATTAATTGCAATATTTGCAGGGGCTGCGTACTGGGAGCGGCTGGGGCTGCTGCTGGGGGAGGTCTTCTGTCGTCTGGACCTGCCGCCCCACCTCCCCTCGACCCCCCTAGCAGGTGCCGATGTGTGGGGAATTGCAGGGGAATACCCCCATAGGGGCTGGTAGGTCTGGGTGGCGTATAGGCCTTACCTTATGACCTTATGATGAGTTCGGGACTTCCTAGTCCAAGGTCACGCTGAGGCGCCGCCTTTGTTGTCCTCCGTCTCCAAGTCATCGTCGGATGTAACGTTGGACGTGTTCCGTCTATTTGCCCTCCTTTGGGCCAGCTGATGCAAGATGCTGTTGCTTGTCACTTGCTGATGGTAGTTACCCATTACTGGACAATCCGGGATCTTCTTCAGAAACTTATCCAGTTGTCTCTTGAATGTTGCAAGGGTAAACTCCCCTCCTCTCAGCGCTTTTGGCAAGGCATTAAAGAGCCTCGGTCCTACCACGGACAGTGATCACTCACGAAGAGTCTGTACTCTGGCCGCGGCTCGGTTATTAAATGGGGGAATCCTGCACAGTCTCCCCCTTCTTTCGTTGTAATATGTCGTTATTTTGGAGGTCTCACTCTCAAAGTTGGGAGCCAGTCCGTTTATTATCTTCCAAGTGTACAGTATGATATACCTTTCCCTTCTTCTCTCCAGTGAGTACAGTCCCAGGTGTTTCAGTCTTCCCCAGTAGTTCAGGTTCAGCTCCCTCATGCCGCTGATCCAGTACGTGAAGGTACGCTGCACTGCCTCCAGTTTCCGCACCGCACCCCCCTTGAGGGGCGACCAAAGCAGGCAGCAATACTCAAGATTGGGGAGCACGAGGGCTCTGAAGAGTGTAATCATTGTTGCTGCTTCTCTCGTTCGAAATGTCCGCCATATCCATCCCATCCATTGCCGGCTGCGCGCGACTATTTCCTCGATATGGGCATCGAACGTGGCTTCAGTACTCATCAACACTCCGAGATCTCGAACTAGTTGCCTCTCCTCAATTTCTGTGCCATCTGATGCTAAGTAGCGATGTGGCATCCCGATCTCTGTGCGGTCTCTGTATCTCATTACTTCGAACTTGGTGCCGTTGAACTGCATATTGTTCAGTAGGGCCCAATCGTAGATTGACGATAGGTCATCTTGTAACCTCTCGCAGTCCAGGCCATCTGTGATCTTCATCAGCACTCTTGTATCGTCCGCAAATGACGATGTAGATGCGTGGGTGAGTTCTGAGTCAATATCGGCAATGTGGATGAGGAAGAGGATCGGTCCCATAGTGGATTCAGCTATTTGTTTATTTAATCGCTTGCGTTTTCTCATAAGGATTCGTCTGTCTCTCTGATTGCTGCGGACTTTAGGCCCTGTTTTTCTCGGGGTATGGGTGTCTCACCTGTTTCTTTAGGTGTCTCACACATACCTGTGCTAGTTATATCAATAATCACCCTCCCCCTCCTGATACCCTCCCTCCCTCCTCCTGACACCCTCCCCCCTCCTCCTGACACCCTCCCTCCCCCCTCCTGACACCCTCCCTCCCCCAGGCACCATGAGCAGCACGACGTCAGCCACGGTGGCAGGGCTACGGCTGCTGTCAGCTCTTCGTGCTGACGCTGACCTGCAGGCAGCGCTGCGTGCAGTGCAGTCAGCCTGGTCAGCCACTCTGCCCTACCTGTCAGCCATGTCAGCCAACGCCAGCCGCTCACACAGCCAGCTCACCCTCACCCGCCTCCTGACACTCCTTGCTGACAGGTGCGTGTGATGACGGCTGACACTACAGCCGTATGCTGACTGACACTACAGCCGTATGCTGACTGACACTACAGCCAAACGCTGACTGACACTACAGCCGTGCAGTGACTGACACTACAGCCATACGCTGACTGACACTACAGCCATACGCTGACTGACACTACAGCCATACACTGACTGACACTACAGCCGTACACTGACTGACACTACAGCCGTACACTGACTGACACTACAGCCGTACAGTGACTGACACTACAGCCGTACGCTGACTGACACTACAGCCATACACTGACTGACACTACAGCCGTATGCTGACTGACACTACAGCCGTACAGTGACTGACACTACAGCTGTACAGTGACTGACACTACAGCCGTATGCTAACTGACACTACAGCCATACAGTGACTGACACTACAGCCGTACAGTGACTGACACTACAGCCATACAGTGACTGACACTACAGCCGTACGCTGACTGACACTACAGCCGTACGC